ATAAAATAATTTTAAAAGTACAATGATGTAGTAAGAAAGTCACACCACTATAGTACATGTGGACATGCTACGTGGACAATGAGGTGACATGAAAACCTAGTATAATGAGTAAGTTTAAATCAAAAGGTTACCCAATGCTATAATGGGTAAATTTTTCAAAGTACAATGTCCTAATAAAAAATAGTTTGAAAGTATATTGCTGTAATAAGAAAAACTGAAAGTACAATGCTATAATAAAGAAATTTATGAAAGTAGATTGTAATTTTATGCATTTTGCCCAAAGTAAAAAAACTAAGTATTAGAGTTCTATTGACTTCTATCTAATTCTAGTAGAACTAGATTTAAACCGAAGGCTACTGCAACCACCAAAGACTGTTATATTTAAAATGTAACACGTTACTTCCATGGTTACCTCCTTTGAGTTAAGGGTTAATTGGTAAGCAAAGTACCCTTGCTCTTAATTAATCATTTTAACTTGTGATAACGAGGAAGACCTGATTTGAACACAAAGTAAGACAGATCATGATGTTGATAAGTGTTCACCTCAAGGCCTATAAGCCATGGTATTTACACTACAAGAAACTGCACTTTTGTCGGCGAGTTTGGGAAATCCGTCGGTAAAAATGATTTTTATTGGTGTCTTTGAATAAAGTCGTTGGCAAAAATTTAACCGTTTACTGAAGGAAAATGTCGCCCGCAAAAATGAACTTTTACCGGAGGATTTCTTTTAAGGCGTCGGTAAAAGTATCTTTAGCTACAGATTTCTCAAACTCGCGGGTAAAAGTATTTTTAACCTTGTAATTATTTTTTTAATCACATTTTCAAAGGGGAACTTCATGAGTCGTGGGCAGAAGTATTTTAGAGGGTGTTTGAAATTGGAATCTATCAAAGGAATTTGACTTTGAATGAATTAGAATAAAATTTGATGGAATTTGACTACGGGTTTGATTGATAGGAATTGGAATAAAATCTCACAATAGAATTGGAACAATCGACTTTGTTTGGATTATCTCACCCATCGCCCAGCCCACACCCTACCAACCATCATGCCATTACTGTCGTCGTCACAACTATCACCCACCCACCCATACCCCACCACCCCAACCCCGCCCCCATCACTCCTCCCACCCCTGCTCTACAGGTTGGGGTTGTTGGGGGAAGGTAGGGTGCGGCAATGGGTGGCAGGGTGGTAGTTGTGACGACTACAATGGTAGGATGGTGGTTAGTGGTGGGTTGGAATGATGAAATTCAATTCATTTCATTATGCCAAGGAATGATGAATTCATTAATCTGTGGAAATCAATGGAATTTGAAATATTCTATCTATTTCAAGAAATGAACCAAACAAATGAATTGGAATTTGGTCAAATGAATTTGTCATTCCAATTCAATCAAATTCTTTCGAATTTCGGAAACCAAACGACCATGTGATTCATATATGAACTATATAACTGATTCACATATTAATTGTTTAATTTATTCACATATGAACAATTTTAAGTCATTTACATATGGACTATTTAATTGATTCACAGATTAATTTTAGATTCAAATATAACATTATAGTTTTAGGATCGAAAACAACATCTTGCTCAAGATCGTTTTTTGGTTTCAAATTCATAATTAAAGAATACGAGGTTTGATCAAGAAAGAATTAAGAAGTTTGATAACCTAGAATTGCGATATATGATCGAGAAAGAATCGAGAGAAATCGATCTTATAATTGTCATAAAACAAGATTTGATTTGTTAGAATCGTTAACAATACGGTGTATTGATCATACATCACCACCGCTTTTTTCTAGTTACCACATTACCTTTCCTTTAAAAAGAACTTTAATTATTTGATCCAATGAATATGATCACTTCTCTATTTCTCACACATTTAACATTTCTCATTTGAAACTCTCTCTCTCTCTCTCTCTAAGAAGGGGGGGATGAAAGGTAGGTTTATACGAGAATGATACATATTTAAGAAAATAAAAGATTTGACTAAATTACGTACAAAATCACATGTGATTTTACGTTAACGGCCAAAAAGCGTGGCAAACCTATAGCCATGTGGCAAAGTTGCAGGGCAAGGTCGCGTAATCACATGTGATTTTGTACGTGATATTAGTATAAAATTACATATGATTTAATCATTATCTTATTTTCTTAAATATGTATTATTCTCGTATCAACCCCCCTCTCTCTCTCTCTGTGTGTGTGTGTCTATATATATATATATATATTCAAGCATTCTACTACAGATTAGTTTTATACAATGAATTAGTTGATATATTTATGCGTATTTTTCTTCTCAAAGCAACCTCATCTTGACTCGTTGCTGGCTAGAAATGGAATAGAATATAGTTTTCAATAATGCAGAAAATCATATCAAGACGTTCATTGACGTACTGTTGCTACTTTACTACATCTGCTATTGCTATTATAAGTTCTGAATGTTAAGAGAGATATACAGACATTTCATCCATCTTTATATATATATATATATATATATATATCATGTTAATATTAAGTTTTAAACTCACAACCATTAAGTTTTGATGGTTTCACTGGATACCAATTGTGCCAAATTCAGCCGACAATCACTTGAGAAACAATCTGTGCAATACGAATATGTTTTCTGGGACAATAATATATATATATATATATATATATATATATATAAGTACCTTTAGAATCTCACTTGAACACCCATCAGGACTTCTGTTTCTTTCACAAAGTCAGATCAAGGGTTGTACCACTGCTACTACAACCCATTGTTTTTGCATGCTTTGATCTTCTTATACTACTAGGGCTCTTAGTCGAAAAAGACGAAAACAACGATAACGATAAGCCACTCTCATCGACCTCCTCGTTTCTTGTATCGTCGTCTTCCCGGGTCTTGATTTGTAGCGAAAGATCCAGATCAAGATTTCCTGGCTCCGGTTGATCAATCACCTTTCTTTTTAGTGGCATTTTGTCTTGATCGTCTACGATGATATCTTTACTTATGGCATTCGTTTCATCCATTTGACTTCTGCTTCGAATTGGGTCATCTTTCAACAATCCATTATTCTCATTTCCGAATAATCTCAATTGGGATTTTTCGATGTTACTGCTTCCAAGCCATCTCAAACTAGAATTGTTGCTCCTTCCTACGATTAATCTTTGATCCATCCTTGAACCGTAAGCTCCATGCCTAAGTCCACTGAGAAAAGGGTTGTAATCTGTTCGGTTCGTGTTGCGACTCCATAAACCATCTGAAACTCTAGAAATTGCCAAAAGAATTTGAATAGAGCAAAGCGAAATTAGTGATCATATATCGAGATTAATCGAAACCATCAAAATTCAACATACCTAAAGCTGGAAATAGAGTTCTGAGCAAAACTTTGGAGCATGGGAAGTTGGCTAAGGTTGTATATATGATGATCATCACCTTCATAAACAAGCCCTTGTTCTGAAACAACTGCAAAAAACCCATCATATATACAAGTAACTGTAAATTGATTGTTTTGAAAATAAAGAGGAAAATTAACATAAAAACTAATCAAGATGAAAACCCTAATTTTAAATTCTGTACCTTGATTTGGATCATTGATCTTCTTGCTTCTATACATCTAATTTGACAAATTCAATAGTAGAATTAAATAAGTTCATTATGATGAATATATATATATATATATATATCAATTAAATGTACAATAGAATTGAATTAAAAGGATTACTTGAAGGTGGCTTTTGACATGAGAGATGCTGAGGCCTTTGATGTTCATCAATTGAAGAACTAACTTAGGTGTTGCTCCTGTATAAAACACATTGATTTTCAATATATAACCGAATAATTCTTATAGAACACACAAAAAAATTGAAATAGGGTTAAAACTTACTTTCTTGACCTCCCAATTTGTCGACTGCATGAATGAATCTGAGGTGGAGTTCAGGTGTCCATCGTAGCCTAGGGTTCTTGGAACGAACATAGGGTCGTACGGAGCCTGTGGCTGAGTTAGCCTTCTTGTCGCTCTCTTCGACTGTGCTGTTGCTTGAGGTTGATCCATTTTTGGGTCTACTTGTGCTAGCTGAGTTATGGTCAACCGCTTCGAATTCATCATCATCATCATCTTCTTCTTCTTCTTCTTCTTCTTCTTCAAGGCCCGGAAAACTGCTGTTTTTCTGGGTGGCATAGTCTTGTTGTTCATGATCATCTTGTTCATTGAAGCTATCGCTTCTCTTCATTTCTATATGGGGTTTCTGGGACCTGCAAAACTTGTAGTTGAACGATCAAGGGAAAGTTACAAATTTGGTATCTCTTGCACACAGAGAGACAGAAGGTGAATGATGAAGATAATTCTGTGGAAGATAGAAGCTTGGCTGAGCTCTAGGGCAATGATAAAGAGAGGCTATAATTGGAAGGATAAATGCCCTTGCCCTAAGAATATAAACAAATAAATTCTCTCTCTCTCTCTCTCTCTCTCTCTCTCTCTCTCTCTCTCTCTTCCCGTTTGCGGTATACTTATTCACATATATGACTTTAACCTCGAGGTTAAAGATAGGGTGAGAAAAGAAGCTATGGTCAGAAGTGTAATAAGAGATCGAAATCTTTGATCATTTTTAATCTCATGCGTACTTATGAATTACGTTTTAGAAGAGAACTGATCTGATGCATCTTGGTGCACTTCGTTAATGTTGACATCAAATTAGAACTAATCCAATAGTGAATATATCTTCTTACGTTTTTCACCATAACTTCTTTTCTCACTGAAATCCAACCAATAATAATTTATATGACATTTTTCTTACAATATCAATGTACATTTTTTTTATCTAGTTAATTAGATAACATATAGAAAACATATATCTATATATATAATTCTAGATATGACATACGAATTTGCTGTTTTATGTCACGCCTTGAAAAATGTCGCGTCCTCACCGTGGCATGTAAGGCTTGAGGTTTAATTTCGTCGTCACCCCACACCTCACGCCTTCTTAAACCTTAATTAAAAGTGATTAAGGGTTCATATTTTTTCTTACAAACTCCAAATATAAATCATGTATTGTTGTAATTAAACTGATAATATTCTAGAAAAATTACAAGTGTTTCAGGTATTATAACATTAAATGTAAGTAAATTAAAAACATTATGACGAAATTAGTTAGATATATAAATATTATGTAATTTATAAAACGATAAAATTCATGCATTTAGCAATTTATTTATAAAATAAGGGGTGGTTAAATATTT